CCCCCCCCCCCCCCCTTCTCCCACATAAAACTATCAATCCCAAGGATAACTCAAGTTGTAACATAAAAGAGTTATAAATTCAGACGTCGTGAGATTTTAACCCATAAGCAATTTATCCTCTCGTAAATATACTAGTCCCTGCATGGATGATTTATTTTTTTATCAAACCGGAGATAAAATTAGTCGAGATATGTTGGCCCGAACGACAGCTGAACCAAAAAAAAAACTATGAATTCAATTTTGGTTAAGGAAGCTCTCTTCTTAGTATTCATTGGCTCATGGGGAGCTCTTTCTTTGAACTATATATGCAATGTTGATCATCAATATCCACTAGTATGCCCTGGCTCTTGCCTTTGCTCCAATTTCTACCATCTTCCCCACAAATTTCATGGTTTCCATCCAAATGTTTTATGGCAAAGAGCAATATAGTTTGATTTCACCCCGGTCGAATGGTTTCAATGGTCAAATAAGTGGCAAATCCACACGTTTTAAGATCGAGTCTCCTTGGTTGAATAAAATCTAGAATTTACATGATTTGCAGCCATGAATTTAAACTGGGAATGATAAGAATGATTACCCATTATTAAAAAAATAATATTTTAATCTGCCAGACATTCTCTGGTGGCAAAGGCAATGTCGTGCCTGTTAACCAAGCTTTGGTCCAAGCAACAGGGACAATTGATGACCTCTGTCTAAGCCTTACCCAAAGTGGCCTTAAGATAATTATATGTTTCTTTTAAAGACGAATGCCACTCCCACCCACTCTGGTTTGTTGCAGCTAACAATGGAAAGAGACACATCTAAAAGGAAAAGAAAACGGTAAAAAAAAAAAAAATTGGCACCGCTAAAGGTTATAAGTTTTGTGAGTTGAAATATAAGTAATTTCGGTTTGTTTATAATAAAAAAATTTATGGCTTTTCAAGTCGTTTTACAATAACTTTTGTGGTTCAAGTTATAATTTTTTGAGAATCAATTACAACTTTTGGGACTACCTGAAAATCGATACTAAGCAACCCAATACAAAATTAGTATGTGATGGTATGGTACCAAAATTTTTAAGTTCATAGAAGTCTCTTTAAAGGAGAAGAATTTTTTTTGGGTACCGTAGGCCACTCTCTGTCCCTCTAAATGATGACTTCTCCAAATACCAGGCAAGATCTGTGAATTGTTCTTTTGCCTTTTAATTTGCTGTCAACCTCACCAGNATTTAAGCCATAAACAATTTATCCTCTCGTAAATATACTAGTCCCTGCATGAATGATTTGTTTTTTATCAAACCGGAGATAAAATTAGTCGAGATATGTTGGCCCGAACGACAGCTGAACCAAAAAAAAACTATGAATTCAATTTTGATTAAGGAAGCTCTCTTCTTAGTATTCATTGGCTCATGGGGGGAGCTCTTTCTTTGAACTATATATGCAATGTTGATCATCAATATCCACTAGTATGCCCTGGCTCTTGCCTTTGCTCCAATTTCTACCATCTTCCCCACAAATTTCATGGTTTCCATCCAAATGTTTTATGGCAAAGAGCAATATAGTTTGATTTCACCCCGGTCGAATGGTTTCAATGGTCAAATAAGTGGCAAATCCACACGTTTTAAGATCGAGTCTCCTTGGTTGAATAAAATCTAGAATTTACATGATTTGCAGCCATGAATTTAAACTGGGAATGATAAGAATGATTACCCANGTAACCTTTATTATAAATTGTGTACGACCAATGTCGTGTCAACTTCATATCATGTATAAATTGTGGTTAGTTGAGCTCGTGTAAACATAGTTGTCAAATTGTAATTTGTATCGTGAATCAAAATTCTAAATTTTTGAATCGTGAATCGTAAGATCTGACATTAAATTTGAACAAAAATAAAAAATAATACTACATATTTAAATAGACAAGATATTAAATATTAAACATATTCTAAAAATAATCAATTGACATAATCACATTGTCTAAATAGAAATACGTTAATCTTTCACTTCATTTTCATTTTTTGTTTAATTATTTTCAAATTCAACAACTTGAAAAAAAAAATTCATTAAAAAACTATAGTTATGCAAGAACCAAAATAGTGACACTCATTATAAATTAGGTTACAAATATGAATAAAAAAAGAACAAATAAGAAAATTGATTGAGAGAAAACATACAGGTTAACATTTTGAAACAAAAAAAAATAGAACCAAACAAGCTACCCATGAAAGAATTGAGAGCAAAAATCAACCGGTGATGCGAGAGCATTAGTCGTGACCTTTAACTTTAATCAACATAAGACGAGCTTTAGAGGACGTTAGAGAGAGAATGAACAAAGATGTTGAGTTTTTATTTAGGCGTAAATTCCTCTACAAACAAAATGAAATTGTTTTACTATTTAGGTTTTAAATAAAAGTGATTGAATTATGCAATTCATGAGATACGAATCAAATCGTACGATTCATGTGTGATTCAACTCTAAAACGATTCTCATATAAAATACGAATCGTTTTGTACCTGTATCGAACCGAATCGTACGAATCGAATAGCAAATCATATACAATTTTAATAACTATGCATGTAGACCTGTTTATTTGGCGTATTTAATAAGCCCACCTATTTATTATTTGGATTCATAAAGAATAAACCAAAATTTATTAATTTTATGTCAATTTCATATCAGATTCAAAGGTCATATCTAAAATTGTCAAGACGACTCCTATAATCCCTATAGCCATTAGCATATAAAAAGTGATAATTTAACAATAAAATCATTGTTGAATCTTTGGGTCTCGGATCCGAACCTCATCTCCCAACTATGTGACAAAAAAAAAGGTAAAGCAAAATAGTAAAGACAGATGAGAATTGGCACCGTAGAAGAAAATAGTTTTTAAATCATTCCTTCCCCTCCAATTTTACCTGCAAGATCTGTAAACCTATCTTTTACTTTTGCAGTTTGCTGTTAACATCTCACAAAAAGAAAAAGTAAACCAGACAAACAGTGCAGATGGGAGGTAACCAAGAAAACCACTTTTTCAGTTAAATCATTGGTCACAACAGAAAGAGAAAGGAGATTATTAAACTCAACAATATATATAGATTTTTTTTTTTTAATTTCTATCAGTGAGTATACATCAGAACTCTGCTTTTTTCTTTCAATGAAAACAAAAAGGCAAATACCCACATGATTATTTTGACCATCTTTCATTCTCGTTCACTCGATGAATCTCTACTATAACAAATAAAGAATCTGCAACAAAAAAAAACATCCCTCAAGTTTTACCCTCTTAGCAGTTCTTGGGTGGTTGAGTTCATCCTGCAAACACAAGTAGTTTGTTAGCAATTACATGATTAAGTTGACTCAAATCTTAGGGGGGGGGGGGGGGGG